AATCAGCGAGGTCCTTGTTGCAAATGACTTTCTGAATCATGTTATTGGGGTGTTAAACTGTGGGGTTTTAGAAGTGAGAATTGCGGCTGCAAATACAGTGTTTGATTTGGCTTACAGTATCAAAATACAGAGAGAATTGGGAAAAATGGGATGCATTTCGCTTTTGTCAAGAATGTTAGATGGTAAAGCGATTATGGAGAAAGATGTTGCAGCAAAATCCCTGTCTAAACTTATGGGTTATGCTGGAAATAGGAGAGTATTTAGAAAGGAGGAGAAGGGGATCACGAGTGCGGTTCAACTCTTGGATCCTTTGGTGGTAAATTTGGACAAGAAGTATCCTATTTCGATTTTAATGTTGATTGTCCATTCTAAGAAATCCCGGAAGCAAATGGTGGCTGCTGGTGCTTGTGCTTATTTGCAGAAACTAGTTGAGATGAATGTTGATGGTGCTAAGAAGCTCCATGATAGTCTTGGTCACGGCAAGCTATGGGGAGTCTTTGCTAGGCCTTGAGTTGATGATCACAGTGGTAAATGATGAAATTGAATACTGTTAATATGAATGTCAATAATATTTCCTTTTCTCTGTAATTTGATTTCATTAGTTTTTACATTGTCAATAAATTATGTTTTAGGATGCGTGGTAAAGTTAGTCTAATTGCGGATGAGAGTGTGTTTTTCAGAATTTTAATTTCTGGTTTTGGTGACCTAACTGCATTAGGTGCTTATGTTTTCCTAACAAATCTTAATAAAACTAATCAAAAAGTCTTTGCTTTGATCTCATTTTCTAATATAGTAAGACAACCTTAAAAGTAAGGTTCTTTCCAAATGTGAGAACCTTATTTAAGGTTATTTTCAAAATGGACAAGATAAGACTTACCACTGTAGTCAGTAGAACAATAGTGATGGAAGAAATTCACATTGTGTTACCCAAATACGGAGTTCTAATTTTGAGCTAATTTTGTTGTTTGCTTTTGTGGAAACCACATTGTTCACAAGGAACGTCGCTCAACTGTGAACTTGCATCCCTTCATGAATGGTTATAGAGCAGTTGTCCTTGTGAACTAATTTCTCTACACTCCACTACTTAGACTAGCTGATAGTAAGTGGAGACAGGTGGTCGGTCCAATTTTACTTGCATTTTTTATCCTTTGATTCCGAGATTGGTAGAAAAAAATCTTCCAGATTCATTTTTTATAGACCTGTGTCTCATCAAATTGCTTTGATGATCTCGGATTCCGTTAGATGCTTCCGCTATGGTCATTGATTATATCTATTGAAGGTAGGTAGTTGTATGCATTGCCCCCATAAAAATCTAGTGGCCCATTCTTTTTTTCACCCCTGAAATAAATGATTTTTTAATTATAGAACATTAGGATAAGGTTTGAATTATCTTCTATAGTTTAGTTTCTATCTGATTCAGTCATTTCTTTATATGGTATCAATGTAATGGCTGGTAGGGTCACCATGTGCATCTGTCTTCTGCATTACCAAGGCATCATTTTGGGCTGGTAGTTGCCCAAACAAGGATTACTCATTTGTCATTCGTTTGGCTATGAGATTGGTGTGGGACTGTGGAGGGCGGCAGCTCAGACGAGATGGGCTGGGATGGCAGGCTTGGCAGCCATGACCGTTGTGGTGGAGATGGCGAAGGTGAAGGTTGCATTGAACCTATGTTCGTTGCCACCGCACCAACTTTATTGACTAAAGAATGCAGTATGGCTCAAAAAGAGTACTCAACTTCAATTGTCAAGTAGTTGTAGTCGACCCATTCGAGTAAACCACTCCTTACTTGACATGGATGATGCAATGTCTCGAAAACTACATTTATTCGGCCTCACTATGGTGGATTCTTAGTTCTTACTCGAGTTCAACAACTTCAAATCAATATAAATTTACTTGTGTTTCACTAAATTAACTAATTTTGGTAAATAACTAAAAACGAACTTCACAGCAAGTAATAGCCTAAATTAGGCAGCTGGGTACGAACTCGATTAATACATATCACATTTACAAATTTTACAGCAAATGACAATCAGTTGCACCCATACAAGTAAAGAATGGGTGTCCCCCCATCCGTTCGATGACATGAAATGTATGTATAATTATGTAAAAACAATTCAAATTTTGAGATGATCTAACCGGATCATTTACGGACTGATGTCGAAATACTTAAGATCTGAAGGATAATGATATTCCACGTGTAACTGCATATCATCAAATCACAAAACTTGTTACTAAATTACACGAGAGTGATAAGAAGAGATTGTATCTGATGTGTACAATTTCGGTATGACTCGACCATCCACGCATGCTAGAAGTCATGTCGATCTCGATCACTCTCCTACGCTAGAGCATCCTCGAGTTTATTGTGGTTGGGCTCGAAGCCAATAGCCCAATCTTGTCCTCCCACATTTACCCAAGCACCAAGGTCGGGCCAATGCCCCAAGGATTAAGGTCAGGCTTCATGAGATCGGACTCTAGAAACGTCAATCCCACTTTGGCTAGAACTCTTTATGACCGTTATCTTCATCCAAATCACTTATCTATCACAGTTTGACTCAAACTGTGACAAAACACTTTCATTATAACACAAATACCCTACATGATAAGGATAAGGGCCACAGGCAGTTGAATCTTTTTACAACTCTACTACTAACATCTATAAATACATGATCAAAGCTCATTGCTAAGGTATGTTTTTACATACAATTTCAGTATATCCTTTCACACGTCCCTCTCTGACTTAAGCATCGGAGGAGCAACGAGGTCCCTCTCTGATTTAAGCATCGGAGGGACGACGAGAACACACCTCGTTGCCTTTGTTTCAATACCAGAAGACTCTGTTCGCGCTCTTTCTCAGCCCTCAAACTCGGGAGATCTATCATGGACGTGTTTTGGTGGCATCAGTATCTATTAATGTCCAATGACTTGGGAATTAAAAATGATTTAACTCGTTTTGAGATTTTTTGTACTAGAATTGAATATCATTACGCTTCAAGTGTGCCATAGATATATCAAATAAAATGCTATCAAATTGTCCTTCTAGGACATCAATTTAAGTTAGATATTTAAATCTGTTACATGAAATATTGTTGATCTATTTTGGTCAATAAATACATTTAAATAAATTATCTTTTGAACTTAGTTCAAATTATCTCTTGTGGTGATTTATAAAATGACACATTTTGTACATTACTTTTAACTTTTAAATTTCTCCCCTAATGTTGAGAAAATTGTCCAGTCAAATTGATAATCAGCAAAACGATGTATAAAAAATCACCCGTTGGGGCTTGGGATATTGTATAAAGGTTCAAACTACTCATTTATTCTTAGTATTCTTTACTCTCCACCTCAATGCATTGCAGTGGATCAAATTTATATATAATGTGCTATCAAAATAATTAGATGAAAACTAGTCGCTATTACGTGCGTTGCACGATATTTGTATTTGATGTGTTTTTATTAGCGTTTAAATTGTAATTTTTTGGAGAAAAAAATTTGAAAGTTCAAGTAAATGTTTTTACAATTTTGAACTAAAAGTTAATTACTTATTGATTGCATATTGTAGTTACTTATTTATGTAATTCATGTATAAGATGAGAATGATATTACTGGTAGGTAAAACATGGATATAAAATCTCATCAGATTTATCATCTAAAAATTGTGATGAAATCTATGAGTCAAAAGTTGGAATTTGTAAATGAAGATATTCACTTAATAATATAAGAGAAATGTGAAAATCCATAATTGAATATATTTATTTAGAAAAAAATAAAAAAAAGTTGAAATTAGGTATATTTAAAGGGAGTGTAACTAATATAGAATAATTTGCATAACACTTATCGATGAGAGTGCATATTTACGTCCATTAAAGTAAATGTGTCATAGATGTAGTTGTATTTGTGTTTATACAAAAAAGGTAGAGAATAGAAAAATATGAGCATGAGTATCCCTTAAATGTTTTTCCATGCAGTAAATGAATCTCAACATGAGAATTTTTTTTCCCTTCAATTTTAATACGTCTTAAAATTATAATCCCTAAATGTTGAATTTTCTAAAAGCCCATTGAACCAAACTACAGCCTCACTTTACACAATCAAAGAATGGAAAATATTGAAGTTTTATAAAGTAATAATATGTCTGTTTTAAACTTTCAGTTCTGTTTTAAACTTTCAGTTTAAAAGAATAGCATAACAGAAAATATTGTACCCCATAAACAATTTACAGTAATAGATTTTGAGAACTAAAGCATTACTGAAATAGAGGTCAAACATGAATTACAATAAGATTTTGTTGTAAAAAGTGATCATCAATTTACACTATGATTGCTCCCAAGAACTTGGATGGAAGAGATAGTTGAGAAGGTCATCAATTCACCACGATCTACGTACATGGAAAAAAAATGGTTTAAGCATCGACGGTATTGGTCAAAACACTAAATAAAAGTTAGTAATCAAAGAAATTTATTGAATGTCGAAGCAGTTGTAAATAATTTGAAAGAAAGGGAAATGAGTGTAAAAATCGTAATTGATGAAATTTTTTGGTGCCATTTTGGATAATATTTTCAATTTAGTGATAGAAATTAGTTAGTTAAAAATAAAAATAAATGATACAATACTTACATAAAACTTTCGTCAGAATTGAAATCAAATTTAAGCTGAAAACTTTGAATTATTTGAAATACCAATTACTTTTGTTGCTTAAATCCCACAAGTTCAAATGAGAAAACCACCACAACATTAAAGAATACTTCCCAATTGCTTAAAAGATTACTTGAGTTTGCTATTAGTTACATTAAGAAGGTAAGCATAAGGTTCTCCATCTTGAAGAATATAAGCATTCGATGTGGATGTAGAAATAGAAATAGCTATTAATTACAGAGATGAAGAGAATATAAAAACATATCGCAGATGGAATCAAGAGGTACAATAGACATCTTAAACTCTAATGGCTGTTCTCTAGATGATTTAAACATTGTAGTCACCAAAGTTTAGAAAACTCAATTTTCCAATGTAACCCAGTTTCTATATGGTTGGCTTGATTGGTTAAAACATTTTTTGTCGTTCTGCAGTCATAAAAGAGCACAATTTTAATATTTTATAAGAAACTAAAAAAATGGCTTATTTAGATATAACACTTTGCTTGATTTGAATGTTAAGACGGAAGTCAGCCTTATTCCTTACTTTGATACTATCCAGAACATATTTCTGTTTAATGACAACTTGAAATCTAACAACTAAATAATTAGCTTTCTATGTATCTACAGACACCTATTAATGAAACCTTAAAATATTTGAAAATTACTTATGTGACTTTTTGAAAGGATTATTTGTTTAGATATCACAATTGTAGCTTCCAATATCATCTTCTTCTTTTTTTACTCAATAAAAAATCTTTATATTAATACATCTGAAAGTTTACTCCAAAGGCTCATCTAGAACATATTAAACTTCCTTTCTCATTGCATTATCTTTGAACAATTTCCTATGCATATATTGGATTTTTCAAAAGAACAAAAAGACTACGGATGAAAAAAATACCCATTCAACCCGATATTCGTGAGCCACAACCAGAGCTGGTCTTGTGATTTATGGGTCCTGAGGCGAAGCGTGTAAAGTAGGCCCGCCAGCGAAAGCAATTTAAATATAAAATTCAACGGTGTATTATGCGACCTATTGCTAACTTAAAAAACTAACATTAAAACAACAACTAAATATATTATAGAAATGATTTATATTATAAACCATCAAAATCAACAATGTTTCAAACAATTAGTTGAATAATATTCGTCTTGCCGTTTTAGAGGCAAAAACATCAATCAAATCTGAATAATTTAGCTGCCCAACCATTTCTTTTTCTATTGATAACATAACCAACCCGTTTAATCTTTCTTGTGATATAGTTGATCGAAGATAGGTTTTGATCAACTTCAATTTTGAGAAACTTCTTTCCGCAGATGCAACTGTAACCGGTATGGTTAACAAAATTTTGTAAGCAATATAAGCATTTGGGTAACAAATATTATGAGTTTTCAAATATTGCAACATTTCAATTGCTCTTGTTGCTTCATTTGGTAAATAAATCTTCAAGACTTGTAACTCCGAACATAAATCATCTCCACTGATGTCCGAACGTCCATTATGTTCAAAATATTTCTCAAGATTCATACAAGAGTTCAACAAACTTGATAAAGTTGCATCCCTTAACCTTTTCAAATTAAACAAAAATCCAAATATGTCATCATATTATTTGAATTATTCAAATCAACCCCTCAGAGAAGATAGAGCTTGATCAATTATAAAAATAAAGTACTCAACTCTAAAAGATTCTTCTACTGATTGCTTTACCTCATCACTACCGCTTTCATCAAATTGTTTTTTCCTTCGAATTATGCGTTTTTCTGTAAATACAGCTTCAATTCCCATTTCATTTGCCTTTTTTGTTGCTTCATCCATAGCAACGGCAAATCCGATTTCTCTACAATCTTCAAAAAATAAAACAAGTCCTTGCAATAGATCGATAGCATGATCAATATCCATGGATTCGGTTTGAAGAAATTTACTCACAAAATTGACTGCATGCAACAACCTGTACCAGATTACTATGCCAAGCAAGAACTCAAAATTCTGAAGTTCATGTGTTGCTAACGACTCG